CGAAAGGGGCAGCGGATGAGCGAGCGGGAATGTTCCCGAGCCCCGGCTTGCGTGCGTTGGTCTGAGCTACTCCGCTCTCACCGTGTTTATTATCTTGTCCCTTCGCGGCAGAACGTGGGGCTCCGGCGTGGAGTATCTCGTGCCGCACCGCTTGCTGTCAGGAGTGCGAGCGGAAGGCTTCTGGGTTCTCTTTTTAGCTGGTCCCGTATTTTTTAATATAGTCAACAGATTCGTAATTAGAATGGAGGGGGGGCAAGAACTGTACATAGTCCGCTTTCTTCTCTTGTTGCTATCTCCGAGTGCTTTCCCAGTAAGCAAAAAGAGATACAAACTTGTTCCCATTTTCCCTTGTAGCCCAAAGAAGAAACATTGCATGGGTATTCGTGAAATAACTTAACTTACCTGTGTTCATTGAGCTATTTCTCATAATCAGAAATGTAACATCTTAACAGACAGGAAAAGCAGAGGTTTCCAGGTGACGGTTTGTTTGTATATGGCTGCCTTTTATCAACAATTTGGATAATTCCACTGTTTTGCAGGCTGGGAGTTCAAGGCTCCTGTCTCTTGCATGCTCTAGGTGATTTTCAGTTGGTTCCATAAGTTTCCAGGACAAACAATTCAATTTTCCATTGAAAATGAGCTAATGCAAAGAAAATGTGGTAAATAGCCTTTGAAAATTAATTTTGCAGTCTTAGGATGTTATTTTTCTGGCTCAGTGACAACAGAAATGCAGGAACCTGGGTAAATGAGTTTTCCTAGTACTTCAAAATGTATTTTACGGTTGCATGCAACATCTGCCTGCTTCTTTTTGCTTTGCTCTTGTTTTTTGGTTCCTATCTCTTTATATTTCCTTCTTTGTTGTTTTAGGTTAAATTGAATATTTGCACAACACAGCTTCTTGCAGAAGGACCACCACACTGTTTTACACTTAGGAAAATATGAGAATAAGCAGGGGGTGTTGTTCTCTCTGAACTAAAAAAAGAAATAATCTGTGCCTTGCTGAGGACAGCTGCAGGAATCGGACGCTTGAATCAATGTTATCGGATGAGTTAGAATCCAAACCTGAGGTGAGCAATTGTGAACTGGATTTGGTTCCCAGGGACGTTTGTGGGCAACACTTAGAAAAAGTTCAATGAGTTTACTCAGTTTGCTGCTTACATAGGAATTCTCAAAGTGTTTTCAATAGCATCTTGTAGTGCTTCTGTTTTGATTTGAATGGTAAAAGATTAAAGAATATTGCAGGTTTTTTCCCCTCCTTTCAAGCGTCAGCCAATACTCTTGCCCATTCTCAGGTTACATTATTTTTTTCACTATTATAATGTTCTGTTACAAGAATAAAATAAATTATTGACTACTTCTTTCCCTCAAACCAAATACTAAGTTTGGGAGAGTCTGGATTATTCTATTAGCATCATCCCGTTCTGTTTTTTAAAGTACTCATGTTTCTATTAAGCAGTTGGCAACAGTGGTAGGCAGCAGCACCCAGGGGATCCTGGTTGCCTGGTGTGAGGCTGCTGGACCACTCCCAGGTTCAGTCAGTAGCGCGGCTGAGCGCGAATTGCAGGGAGGTATGTGTGCGCACACAAGTGCACACAGTGCACGCACAGCTGGCCACACACAGATTAACACATACACAGGTATAGTACCTTTAAGAGGTAAACACAAACAGCATGAACAACACAAAAGTATATATCTATACCCTCACTCAACTCTTATGCATACTTGCATTCACAGATGTCTCTGCCAGGCCTAAAGTCTTTCTGGTATCTGTGCCCAGGCCCAGGGCTTTTTAGCCAGTTTCTGGCTGGAATCTTGGGGTTTTCCAGATTGCGGTTGCTGCCTCCTCACATGTTAGTAGATTAGAAGTTTACTAGCAGTGCACTCACTTGTGGGGAGAATATTTAGGAATATGTTTAGTAAGTAGATAGAAGGGACTGCAGTGATCAGACATAGCAGCATACTGACCAGCAGCCAGTTAACATGTGATTGGAGTTTCTTCCTCCCCCCCCCCCCCCCCCGCCGTGCTTTCTCCACTTACCCACCTCGATTCCTCCTTTGATCCTCCCCCTAAGCATTGCATAATAAGTTTTACAGACCCTGCAGTCTCTGTTGCATCCGATAATACATTTGGTCTTTCCTATAACCCAAGGCAATTTTGTTTTCTTACCAGTTACAAAAGTTGTGGTTGAATCTCAGCAGGGGCCCACTGACCAGTGTCTGAGGAGTTCTGGTCTTTGTTACTCTAACCTGTTAATTTGCTAGATACAACTGTCTGCAGTTTGCTACATTCAACACAATTGTTATCAGTGTGTTTAATTAATTACTTCTCCTGTTTCTTGCCTTTGTCTTTAAGGCTGAACAGCTGTTAGCCAGCTATCTGTACATTCCCCCACTTGAAAGTGCAGAGGGCTGTATCGCCTTGCGTCCTTGCTTTTTTGATTTTCCACTTTACCTCTTCAGAAGGCTAAGGTCCTAGAGCAGAGGACTTAGTACTGCTGTGAAGTACCTTTTGGGGAAGTTCACAGGTGTAAATAGAATAGGTTTTATTTAGTTTTCTGTTTCTATTCCTTTTCAGTCCATGTGCAATACAGCAGGTATCTTAAACTGGTACTCTAAAGAGAGTGATAATTACATGCTGGTAACTCGTCACAGCCCAGGTGATGTGGTAAGGTATTTGTTTCTTAATGGAGCAGCCAAAGTTCTTCCAATCACACTATTCAGGAAAAGCAGCTGCAAATTCATAGTAGCCCTGAGTAGTCTCAGCACGGGCTACAAGGAGTTCCTTTCTCTTGCCTTGTGGTTGATCTCAACTTCTGTCAAGTTTTCTCCCAGGTCTGAATGATAAGGCGGGGGACTTTGTTACTTCAGTCTGTGAGTGGGTAGATTACCACAGATTATTTCTGACAGCCAAGGACCAGGGTAGTTGGAATGCTCATTCCTCAAATAGGAGCTAGAAGTGGGCCTTGTCTTTTCTCAGCTTCAGTAAGGTATGTGTTAATTAGGCATGTTTACGTAATAGTCCTATTTCCCCATAGCAGAGTTGCACTTCACTCTCAGACAGCCCAGACTGGAGTAGGCCATTCTCTGTTGGAACAGGCCTGATGCATGAAAGCTCCAGTGATTTCAGAAGGCAGCCTTTCCATAGATGCTGTCTTATAAACCACGTTCCTCAATCTTGATCAAGGCTATTTTATACTACAAATTTGGATTCATTTACTCTGTGGATTACCAAATCTATACACACCTTCCTTCTGGTTCTGACTGTGAAAGCTGAGTGTCGTTAGTACTATTTTCTACTCCTTTGTTGTGAAACTGGTACACACCCTTTTTACACCTTTATCAAAAAGAAGTTCAAGTCTCTCCAAAAGTCAGTCATAGTTTTGTATCCTCTGGGGATCCATGGCACCATAATTCTTACAGCCATAGATGTTCTTTCGTGTTCCCTACCATGGGAGAAAAGTATTAATTAAGAGCTAACTGTATTTGTGTAACATCTAGATAACATTAGTCAAAGCACTATGGATGCATGAGCTTCTTTGCTACTGGTTTTGTCCCTAAAGAAGGCAGCAATGTGCCAGTCAATGTTTAATACTTGAGGTGAATCCTCCTTTCATAGGAAGTTACAAAGCTGCTTGGAAACAGTTTGTACAGCCAGATGGATCTGCTTTTTCTTCTGTACTCCCTGCCCCCAAAGCTGTTATTACCAGCATTCCTCAGGGAGCTGATAAGATCTGCGTTTTGCATGCTTTAAGGCTTCGGTGTGATTTGTTGTAATTGCAAATATTTCCAGCCACCTCTACCACAGCGGTCCACTGCAGGGTGCTTTCTGCTGTGGGGGGTAGCTCTTGCACAATCAGGTGAACTACAGCTCTGGTCTATAAATTGAATTAGCTATTGAAAAGGGGGTGAAGGGAGGCATTTTAGCCTCTCCTTTCTCTCCTCATCAGCACCTCACAAGGAGAGACACTCTTGTGAATGAATTAATTCCCCAGAGGTTGTACAGGAAGAGGGTATCCTAGTTTCTAGCTAAGCAGCCTCCTTGCCCTCCACATCCTTCAGCTCCAGCCCTCTAGCCTCTCCTTTCCACTCTGCACCTCCCCCTCTGCTAAATGTTCTTTTGACCTCTTTATTTTGTAGTGGTTCACTGGTTAAATTTAGAACAGAATCAGTATTGATTATAAACATGGTCCCTACTGCTCTGGGAGTCTAGTCTAGCTCTCCAGCCGTCCAGTGGGAGGATAGATCTGAACATTAGTACTGGAGCAACATTCCCCCCTGACCTCCCAGCCACCCCCACCTGAAACAAAGCAGCTGCCTGACACTTCTTGGCTTTTGAATCATCTGAAGGGGGTGTGTTATGGGACACAAACTTCAATGGGATCCATCCCAGATGGTCATATTTTCATTTGTTTCTGTAGTGTTTTGTATTATTTTTAGGATCTCTAGGAGGAATTCCCAATTCTTCAAAGAGATTTTTTGGGGGTTTCCCCCCTCGGGTCAGGCACATTATCCAAGCTTCTTGGTAGTACAAGCATTCTGCATTGCTTGTGGTGACAGACCCTGGGATCATCCTGTCCAGCCATCTCTGCTTGACCAGCAGGGGTGACAATTATTTGTTTAGTGACAAGAGCCAAGAAATATTTTACATTTTTAGTACATACATTGTCTATGTTACTTACAGGATTTTCAGAGTTATGTGGTGTTTCAGCAGCAGAAGTAAAAGGAGGGTATATTCAAGAAGGTGGTAGGGCAAAGAAAAAAATAAAATTCACCGTAGCAAGATGCACCTGAACATTGCTCATTTTGTCCCTCCAAGGCATATAGATTCTCTCTGTATGGCTGTCGTCTGGCCCATAAAGTTTGAATCTCTAAGTTGAGGGCATCCTTTTGTAATTAATCAATATAAAAATTTGTTTCAAATTCCAAGGGATATCTTGGCTATAGAGTAAAGCCACTTTACACCTCTTATTGTTCCTTTTGTGTCTGTTAATATTCTGTATATTCAGTTTCCCTAACTATTCCTATTCAGGTGTCCCAAGATGTTCTATCTGCTTGGTTACAAATTCTAGCACTTTGGCCATATTTGCAGAAGGATCAGTCCCCTCCTCACACAGAAATTCTATGGTGACCATCTCGGGAATACTTACAGCCCATCTGGATTCTGTTTGTGATGCCTGATATTACGTGGTTACAAGGTCTGATGAGCTGTGGCATCCAGGAGATTCTTCCCCTCCTGGTCCTTCAGACAAGAGACCACTGGAACGTACCCAGATGCAGGCAGAAGTGAGGCTGAGCCTGAACTGCAGATATGCACCCATGCACACAATAGACAGTACAGACTCATATGGCTATAAACAGGACAGTACATTTACAGGCACCTGCAAACGGCATTCACATGGAACAGGAAGACCACAAATAGCCTAATTCTGTTCCTACTCATCAGGTAGTCACGCCTGAAATCTGCTAGCGTACACACGTGCCCTCTCTCAGCTGACATGCATACTCACAGTCATGGATCTGTCCAGTCTCTGTCAAATCTTGAGTCCTTCCAGTATTCGTCTCCAGGCCCTGGGCTTTTTAATACAGCGTCTGGCCAGGATCTTGGGTTTCCAGGTTGTGTTTTCCTCCTATTCACAGGCTAGTCCAACTTGAAGTTAACTAGATGAATGTACTCAGAAACTATTTGGGAGCAAAGAGCATTTGAAAGAAGACGGGATAGACTACAGTGATGAGGCAGAGCAGTTGCTGACCTGCAGCCTGCTAACATGTTGACAAATTATCTCCCACCCACTTCCTGTTCCCCATGGTTATTCTTCTCCTATCCACCTTGATCCCTCCCTTTCCCCACCTTTGATCCTTCCCCTAAACATCCATAAGTTTTTCACATTCCCACAGCCTCCTCTTAAGATATCTTAATAATAAGTTTTACCTGGTCCCAGAATTTCTCCCATATCCCATAAAAGTTTGCTTTTGCCTAAGAGATGTGTTCTGGTAACCCATGGTAATATTGTTCCTATCTCTTAAAAAGTTTCTGGTTGAATTTCTTCAAGGTCACACACAAGTCTTTCTTTTAGTGACTCATCCATCAGTGTCCTAGGAGTTCTGGTCTTTGTTACTCTCTCTTATCTACGGTTTGTTAGAATTTGTCTATCTGCACATGTAATTTATTACCTCTTCTGTTCCTAGTCTGTCTTTTATACTGAATAGCTGATTATCAGATACCCTTACAATTTCCTGTTTGCTTTCAGCTGCAAAACCAAATTAAAAGAAACTTAAGAAAGCATCACACAGTATTTGTAATTAGCTTTTTCCCATATTTGAGTTGCTGTAGTTGTCACAAAGGTATTCAGTTATTTCGAACAGGAATGAAAGTTTCTGAAAGTACTTGGCTGTCAAGATACAACTGTCAGATGAAAATTTTTATTTTCTCTGAATTAATTGATGTAGAGTTGGGAGGGATACATTTGGTGATTGGTTTGCTTTAGTTTATGGGAAGGGTTAGGGGTTTGTATTCCAAATTTTAACAGGGAGCATGATTCATGTCCTTTTGTTTACTGCTGCTTCTTTTGCTCCCTTTTCATTCTCTGTACTAACTTATTGTTACTTTACAAAGAAAATTAGGATCTCTTTTCTTTTGAGCATCTGTTCATGGCTACTGCATTTTGCTTTTCCCTAGTGGCTTAGCGTTGCTCTGTGGAAATGGAAGGTTTGAAGCAAAGCTTTCCTATTGTAGGAGGAGAGTTTTATCTAAGGCTTTCTGTATAAAAATAGAAGAGTCCATAAACCAAGTGTTTCATGATAGAGTAGGCAGCAGTAGCAATCATGAACAGCTTTTAAATGAGAGACAGTCCTGTAATTTAGAACCATCTTGCTGCTCACGTTTTTTAGTCCCAACTTCTTTCTTCTGGTTGCCTTGCTCTGTTATTCCTAATTCCCTTCTCTTTTTGCCCCTCTTTCTCCTATTTTTTAACCTTAAATTAGAATACATGGCCTTGGGGGAGGGACTGTCTCTTCTTGCCTATGCTTTTTTTTTTTGACAACATAAAAATAGTTCCCTCTTCTGACAGGGGCCTCTGGATAATATACGCAAGAGGAAAAAATGCTAACCTTTCAAACTGCAGTCTGGCTTGCAGACTAGTTCAAGTGGCATATTGCCATCTGAATGACTTCAAAACTTAATTTTTACCTTCATAATTGTGAAGTGAGGACAGGCTGCTCCTAAGGGAGGGTGAGCTGGGAGCCAAGGGTGATCCCAGCCCAGGCAGTGTCCTGACTGACCAGGGCACGGTCCTGCAGTACCTGAGCACGGCGGGCAGAGGTGGGTGCTGGAAACGGGGTCCGTTCACAGCCCTGGACAAGGCAAAATGATGAACCAGGTTCAGGGTCTATCCAGAGAGTCTGGTCAGGAGTAGCAGGAGATGAGGCTGGAGACACTGATGCAGTAAAAGCCTGAGGCCCATCCAGGAGACAGGGCTCGAGACACATAAACCTATAACACAGCTCAGGAAAGGGCTGGGGAGCACAGGCTGAGCTTAAATGGAGCCCCTGGGAAGGGGGTGTGGGTAGAGGCCCCAGGTGAGACCTCTGGGGCAATTAAGGCTTCAGGGTTCTGACAGCAGTAACTCTTCAAACTAAAACTATTTGAGGAAGCATCAGTATTTGCAGTGTTTTCATGAGAGGAAATAAGCATAGAGAAATCAGAGCCCAAACTATTAAGTTTTCTTTGCAGTTTCTTTGATTTAATGAACTTCATCCTGATGTAGTAGAGGCTCAAAAGGCTGGTATCTGCTATAGAAATAATTTGGAATTGGGTGCCAGTACTGAAAATTAAATACTAGGACAATCACAACGTATAAAATAAGAAGCTATTAGTGTCTGTTGGGTTTTAATCACAAATATACCATATCATGCTTTTTACTCTGTTTCTGTTGACACTGATGAACCATCTCACTGTACAGACAACTTTCTCTGGGCTTAGTGTGAATGCATGCTGAAGTGTGTCACAATGAGGGTAGTAGCTTTTGAATAACTGTCTTGTACAGTTTCCTTCTAAATGCCAAAGATAAAGGAAGTCTGTTGCTAGACAGCAGCAGGATGCAGGATCTTCCTTGATGTCAAGGAGTTTCCTAGAGATAAGGAATAGTGGCTTGAAGGTTAAGTTTTTGTTGTGTTGTTGTTTTCCATATTTCTTTCATCTGTGTTTTTTTACAAAATGTTTTGAGAATGTGAGTAGAGGAGTAAGACTGTTTGACAGAACTTACAGCCAAATAAATAAGAACCTATATAAAGTTTTTGAGGGGCATTTTCTCTGAAATGTGGAGTATGTGTCTGGGTCTGCTACAACTGACCCCTTTCAGTCTTTCTGGTCTCGGGAAATTTTATTCCATACAGGGAGGGATTTGAGACCGTTATTTGTTAAAAAATCTTGTGGAGTTCACAGAAGAATTAGTTCAGTTCACTGCAAAAGCTGGGCTGTTATCTCCTGACTCCCAGCAATGCTTCCTTTGTTAAATCAGAATATTTTAGTATGGACTGCTCTGGCATTGGTAGCAGAAAAAAGACAGTCTAATTTCTGTGTCTGTGCCTTGGAGGTAAAGAGGAGTCCAGCATTATATCCCGTAATCTGACAAAAGCTTGAGATGTCAAGGCGACAGAATGAGTAAACAAGGCAGATGCTTTGCTGCTCCGAACTTGGTTAAATATGGGAAGACTTTCAGGGGAGAGGAAAGGCATTTCCCTGACTTCCAGTTCCTTCTCAACTGTCAGGTTCCTTTTTTATAACTCAAGTTTTTTAGGAGTTAGCCAGAAGAAATGTTTGCATTGCCAGAGCTGACTGATGTTAAGGATAGCTGAATCTGCTGGACTGAACAAATGAACCTCCTTTCTTTTTTCTTTTCTCACCTCCTGGGCCCATCAAGATGAGGGCTGCTCCCTATTTCTGATCTTAGATCCAGCCACTGTACAGATGTGACTGGCACCAAACAGATGAACATGGGTAGGATGCTCCTAGCTTTACCCACATAAACACAGGCAGCGCAAAGTGCCTGATTCTGCTTCAGAGGGTCACTGCCCAGAGACAACCTTCATGGGTTTCTCTAGGATATGTCCTCACATTTCTCGTTCTGCTTGCCAGCCAGTCTGTCTTGGAGTTCACCAGCATAGGACATACACACACTCTAGAGAGCAGGATCACACAGAAAATAGTTAGGAATGGAGTTTAATAAGAAGACAGGACAGCCTGGGATGGTTAGGCTGCACTGGGCCACTGAATTGACCCATTTCCTGCTTATATGTAATGGGCCTCTTTTATCCTCCCCTCTCCATTTTCCTGTGTTTGTTCTGCCCTGGTCCACCTTGATCCCTTCCTTTTCCTGCCTTTGGCCTTTCCCTTAAACAATGCATAGTAAGTCCTGTACAACCCCCCAGATCTCTTGTTCAGTCCCAAAGTCCTTTCCAGGGAATGCCTCCCAGTATAAGTCCTATATCTCTTTATGCAATAGTCCCCCTTTATTTTGCTGATCTGGAGCAGGTTTCTTCTGTTGAATCCCCTTAGTGGGTGGGTTTCACACTAAGGACAATGGCTTTACTTGTCCATCTTTGATGGTGGTAGGAGTAGCTGATTTGGATAGGTAAGTCTTTCTGTGTTCTCCCCCTTGTCATATCCCAGCTTTGTTCCTCTGATCATTATCTGCCTATTTTGAATAGCCATTAGCTAGACATCTTTGCAATTAGTCTTCTGCTTGCTTTTTTTATTTTAAAAAGACCAACTTCCTTTCAGCTAAGTATTTAAAGACAATGGTTTAAAAAAATACCTGTACCAAAGGCTGAGCGTGGAAAACATTTACTTGGAAGGTTAGAGATAGTAAAGTATCAAGCCGTAAAAGATTAATTAAAAAGGAATATATGCCTTAAAAACATGGCATATGTTGGTAAATTTATCTTGGTAAAAGATTAATTAAAAAGGAATATAGGCTAAGTAGCCTTCAGAGTAGTCTGCAATGATCCAGAGCTGTTTATTGTATGTTAAAGAAAGGATGACAAACAGTTCCTTCTTTGACATTAATGTAAATAGAAAAGCTTCCATTTACTTCGATGTGTATTCATGAGATTGTATTCAGTGTCTCTTACAAGACCGTAGGGGGTAATGGACTGGGTTTGGTACCTTTTGAAATGATTGGTGCTGCTCTTGACCTAATCATCAGTATCTTTTTTTCAGCTGCTGGTTCAGTTTGTTCAGAATACTTCTATTCCACTGGGGCAAGGGCTGGTGGAGTCAGAACCAAAAGACATCACCTGTCTTTCTCTCCTTCCTGTTACTGAGACCTCAGAATGCAACAGACTCATGTTGCCAGGTAAAACCTATGTGGCAGATCTCTGTGAGCGTGCCCTTCATACAGCTGTCTTTACTGCGCCACTGTGACGCACTGCCTCTTGCTGATAAGGCATTGAGGGGTGGAGGAACAAGTTCAGAAGGGTGACTGAAACTTTTCTCATTTAACAATGAAGTCCGACTAATTAGAAAATTCCTTTGTCCTCCAATCTCTCAAGTTCTGTATTTTTTCTAGAAAAATAACTTCACAGGTATCTTTTAGTCATAGTGCGCTTTATCTTTCAGTCATAGTGTGCTTTTATTTACTCTGGTTTTACTTTCTTCGCTAGATGATGAAAGAGATCTCACTTCTCCAAGTCACACTAATTCTTCCAAAGATGTTTCTTCATCTGCTGTCTTGAGAAGTCTCCAGGTAAATGTGGGCCCTGATGGAGAGGAAACAAGGGCACAGAATGTACAGAAACCATCTGAACTTCTGTCAACTCCAGAGACTTCCAGTTTATTGCAAGACCTCCAGCCCAGTGACAGCACTTCATTTATTCTTCTCAACCTAACAAGAGCAGGTAATTCTCCTTCTGTTTGTCATCTGGCTGGATATGTCTCAGACAACAGAATGCAGGAGATACAAGTACAACTCTGTCCCTGCTGCTTATGAAGGGGAAAGATCACGAAATTTGCTGGGCATTATTGGATATTTCAGGAGCATTTAATCATCAACAGCTTCCTACAATGTAGAGGTCAGTGAAGACATTTTCAGTGCAGCTATTGCATCTATGCCATGAATACTAGCCTCTTGGGGAAGCAAAAGAAATTTCCCTCTGTTACATTATCCTTCTGTTTCACGAAGTCGTCTTCTTTTCCAGGGCTGGGGTCTCCAGCAGAGCACTTGGTGTTTGTTCAAGATGAAGCAGAAGATTCTGGGAATGACTTTCTCTCTCATGATAGCACAGACAGCAGTACCCCGTGGTTCCTACGAGTGCAAGAATTGGCCCATGACAGTTTAATTGCTGCCACTCGGGCACAGCTCGCTAAGAATGCCAAAGCAAGCAATAATGGTAGGAAATCCCTTGCTTCTGTCTCAAAAGTTGAATGTTCCATGCAAGGCCCCTAGCTTCAGCTTATTTCTTCCTCTCTCTTTCACGCTCTCTTGCTTTTAATCTATTCTGATCTGTCTTCAAATCATCAGTGACATAATTATACAGAACAGTCATGTAATTTTTCTGCAGTATAAATAGTCTCTTCAGTTTTTCTTAGGGAATGAACTTCAGTTGAGCCAGCAGTTCCATTGTAGTCCGCATGTTCTCTGGTACATGTAAAGGACATCTTTCTGACTGCAGCTGCTTGTATTTCAGCTTTCATTTTCACTTTCAAGTGTCTGCTTTTAATGCATACTGTAATTCATACTTTCTTCTTAGCTCCACTGGGTTTGGAGATCAGCTTTCTGGAGAATACATAAATGGATTTAGTCACATGCTTTTGACTTAATTATTTTAATAAATAATTGGGAAGAAATGCAATATCTCATTTTTAGCTAAAGCGTTTTTAAAAATAGGTATCCTGGCTAATACTTAAAATTGGTTGGTTGATATTTATATAGAGAACATTTTTACAATTTTTGATGCATTGGCTTTCTATTCGTTTTGTGATAAGCCTCATCAGTAGCAGCTGATCTGATCCAGGTAGCTTGTTGGGAATAGTGTATGGGCCTGGTAAAGTTTGCAAATCTGTGTCTGATTCCTGTTATGGGCTAGGCAGCAGCATGTAGGACTTGGTGAACAATTAGTAGCCAGGCATATACCTGCTTTGCGTTCCTTTATCATATATGATGCAGTTCTTATGTATTAATTTTGATATATTATAGCAATCTGTATCTTTTTTAGATTTTGCTGGGCTTTTTCTTCCAGGTGAAAATGTTCATCTTTGCTCAGGAGATGGGCAGCCGAAAGACTCTAGCCCCATTCCTCATCTATCTCGTGTGGAAAGGAAGCTGAAGTGCACAGTTGAGGGCTGTGATCGGACATTTGTGTGGCCAGCTCACTTCAAGTATCATCTGAAAACACACCGGTGAGCAGAATAAAGCTGTATGTTGTCATGACTTTGAAAACCTGTGCTCTGTGTTTAAGACAGCATTAGTTTTTGACATCAACAAACTGTGAAAACCTGGTATTACTTTTAGAAATACTAGGCCTGTTGCTTGCTTTAGATCATTTATGTTGAAACACTTTGACCAGATTTAGATTATTTTTGCGAGTCCTTGTTAGTGTTTGGTTTAGAATATTTGTATTTTAACAGGTGCTCAATAAAGAGCGTCAGTATCGCTTCTGTGGTATAGCAAAGATTAGAACTTGTAGGATGCTATTGTGTTTTTAGATATCCTTAACAAAGTTGCTTGCTCTAACAAATGATCCTAATCTTTTTTAGCTAAGAAATTGGCAGTCTAAGGTAAATTGTAGATGAGAAGCTTAAAAACTGGGAAGGACTCCAATAGACGTGAGCCCATCATCTTGCCCTGAGACAGGGCTGGCAGTAATTGCAGATGTTACGTGTACACGTACAGTCATTTTTGATCCTCCAGTGACTGAAATTCCACAGCATTCCTATATAATCTGTTGCAGTGGTTTACTAAGTCATGCTGGGTAGGGAGTAGGCAAGGTAATGTGATAAAAAGATATTATCTGAACAGATTCTTCCAGTCGACCACACAGACTCTAGTTCCTTAGGACTCAGGTCACTCACTTTGGTTGACTCTCTCTGTTTTCTGATACAATTAATTTTGGTTTAAATGTTTCTCCTTTTTATTTAATCAAAAAAAGAAGTTGAGTGTTCATGAAAAAGACATTGCAGTACTGGTAATGAAACAGCTATTTTGCTGATTTCCAGGAACGACCGCTCCTTCACCTGCCCAGCAGAAGGCTGTGGAAAAAGTTTCTACGTGTTGCAGAGGTTGAAGGTGCACATGAGAACTCACAATGGTGAAAAACCCTTCGTGTGCACGGAGCTGGGCTGTGGGAAACAGTTCACAACAGCTGGAAATCTGAAGAACCACCTACGAATTCACACTGGTGTGTTTTAGACCTCACCTATTTGTGGTCTGCAGAGGTGGAGTCTTTACTGAGGAATAAACCTCCTCAAACTTTTAAGAATATTATGTTGTTTGTATCTGCCCTTCATGAACGTCCCTTTTCTATCAATTCACATTGATCTATAGGTTAAATTAATCAACTGATTATCCCCTTTACCATCCTGTATAATTCCAGACAGGGTTCACCCTTCCAGTACTGTATGGTGATGCTGTACTCTGCTTGGACCCCTGCTCTGAAGATTCTCTGCCCCCCCCAAAGTTGTTTGATGGAGGGAGTGGTGTGTGTTGTTTTAGGGAGAAACTGGACTATTCCCAAGGGCATAGTTAGCAGACTCAGCTGCTGTAATTGTTTTTTTATAAAGAAGCTATTTTGAATTCCTGAAAGGCACAATAGCTTAGATATTTCTCCAGTGTGGCATCCTGGTGGACATGGTAGCTGTACTGACATCTGGCTGAGTCTGACTAGCTTATGTTACCTATGCTGCTTGCAGAGTGATTACATTTGGGAAATTCAGGGAAGTGAGGAATACAGTGGAATGAGTAGCAAAAGTATAGTAGCAAAGTCTAGTAGAAAAAGACAATAATTAGAAGACAGCATTTTGGCATGCAAACTGCTCTGTTTGTGCTAATGCTAATTTGGGATGTTACCATATGCTGGAGCCTATGTACTCTTAACTCATGCTCAGCTTTTTATATTGAATAAAACAAGAACCTTTATTTCATAGTGCTGTATTTTATACACGGTTTGTTTATGCTGTCTCCTCTTGAGAATTTGAACCTGCTTTGTCAATATGTTTAGAATTTGGTGTACCAGGCAGTCTTGACAGCAGCATAAAGTGCTTTAGGTGTTTTTATCCTAGAGAGTTGTTTGAGAGAGGCACACAAGTTACTGCTGAGATGATCAGCAATTTAGTAGTTAGCAAAGTTCATGGTGAACATTCTGGTGGTTTTGTTTGCTTGTTTTTTAAGCCTCAGGGTCATCACACCACTTAAACAAATGGCCTGGTTCAAGCCTCTCAGAATATTGTTAGAGATTCCCCGATGACCTAGGAAGGCCGCATTGCATTACAGTTGGTTAACATTTCAAAATAACCTTGACAACTGTGAGAGCACAAGGCCTCTCTAGTAAAATGAAATCGCAGATTATGTGGGCTGCCAGCAGCTGTTTATGCCTTCTGCCTTACTTAAACACTACCGTATGGTATGTACTTTGTAGATACACATGGAAAAAGGTTGCTATTTTAAAGAATTTGCAGTCTAGCTAGAACACACGGTTTGGGGGCAGATGTTGGGATGCAGTTAAAAATTATACATACCAATAATAAAATTTTGAATGTGTAGTAACAGCAGCCATGTTTTTTACAGTTGTCTCTTGCACTTAAAGCTCCCAGCCAAGGCACAGATAAAGTTAATAGGCCCAGCTGACACATGCACAATCCTCCATGACAGATTGAGTGTTCTGCAACCAACAGAGTAGTAGCTTCCAGAGGAGTGAATAATAACTTCCTTAACTGCAAATTGCTAATGTGCAATTAAGAGTTTGATCAGACCAAAGGTGTTATAAAACTGCAGGTGTAAGTAGATCTAGGGTTTCTTAGAGATGAAACTCTGCGCTGCTATTTTTGCCAATGGTAGTTTTTCTTCCTTCTTGCCAAGTTTTAAATATTTCTGACAAGGCAGAAGGTATAATCAGTGTTTGAGAATCTGCCACATACTTCAGCTTTGTTAACACCAATCAGAACGTGCTGTGTTGATCCCTTTTGTTGAGATCTGTTGAATGCTATAGCAGATAGGAAGCTGAGAAATGAACTGTAGGGAGGGGACTTCTAAAGGCAAAATCACAGTAGAAACAACTTCAAAAACAAGTTTACTCTGAAAGAACTATGTATATGTTAGGCAATAAAATAGCTAAAACAGCTTGCTTGATCTCCTGTGGACTCGCTGTTACTCTGATGCAGTAGTCTAGTTAAAGACTTGCAATCATAGTGTTAAACGTGGTATACTGAGTTCTTTAGTGGAATGTTGCAGGCAAAAGTTACCTCTAGTTTTATTTAAGCCTTTATTAAGAGGGTGTTTAGAACAGATTAATTGTATTATATTGCACTGCATTAGTGTGGTCACCTCCCAGTTTATCATCATTTAGACAAATACAAAAATAGCTGTGGAGTTACATAAAAATAACAAATTTCAGCCCATGAGAACAAATTGTGCCTTGAGTTACTGTTCCTCCACACATAAATATAAATGAATGACACATCTCTCATAGGATTTTGCCAAGTTCAGCCTGATCTGAAACAAAGTATAGAATCTGATATGAAGGGAAATATAGTTAATGGGATTTTTGGCACTGAGAGGCTGAAAATGAACAGGATCCTGGGAGTGTGTGAAGCAGAGAGCTTGTTGTTCAGAACTCCATGTAGAAGATATGTCATAGTCCAGGCACTTTTATGTTACTCTTTTGGTATTTATATACTTGGAAGATCTGTTTAGAAACAGTGGACCTTGCTTTGCTTTCAGTAAATGATGATCTAAGAACATTTCAGAAAGATTGTCAGTGTTTCCTCTTGAAAGCTGATGAAGAGATGCCCTAAAAGCCTTAGGAAGCATGTGTGTAATTTCTGTTGAACTTCGTTGCATGTGAGGCCAAAAGGAAAAATGGGATAGAAATCTTCAGAGGGACTTCGGCAATCAGATCATGTTGCAATCCCAAAATCTAAGAACTTCCTTTTCCCTTGTAGGAGAAAAACCCTTTCTGTGTGAGGCACAGGGATGTGGTCGCTCCTTTGCCGAATACTCCAGCCTTCGGAAACATTTGGTTGTCCACTCAGGTAAGAGTTTTCACTTGACATTCTGTGACCTATCTGAGAAAAGATCTGTGTTGTAGGACTTTGTTTAGATTTCCTTAAGAAAAGTCCCCTGGTTTCTACAGGACTTCTGGTCACAGTGTTTCACGACTTCCTTTGTGGTGCCTGTAGCCTGTACACTTTAATCTTTTCTGTTGTTTCTGTTTCTAAATTTTATGTTTCTAAATTCAAATTACATTTTTTAAACTTATTTTCTAAATTGTTTCTAAAATGTCATGAAGTTTGAGTATCTGATTCATAGCTGCCTTTTTTTTTATTTAAAAGAGAGAATCTAGCACCTCTGTGTATTGATCAAAGCCATTCAAACCTGAAATCTCTTATGAGTGGGTTTCTGCCATAGACAGGCTTTTCCTTTATTTTTTAATACTACATACTTGTAATTGGACAAAGCATTAGATGGAAATGTATTTCACAAGTGTTTCAAAGCTTCTGCCTTCTGTTTTGATTGTGGGATTACCCAAGTTCTCCACGCTTTTTCTTTCCTGTCTCCTTGGCTTCCATGCTATTGAGCTCACATGTATGGACATAATACTTCTTGTACTGTGAAAATGGTAGACTGCTCTGTAACATGGAAATCCTTTCACAGTGACAAGCCATCATCCAGTCTCCATTCAGTAATGTAAACCAGGTGCTGTAGTTTGTTGTGGGATGGCTGGAGATAGAGTCCTTGCCTCTGCTTCCTTGCATTTGGTCATTTTATTCTAGGTATGGGACATCAAATATTTCCATGTCACTGAGTAAGAGATTCCAAATAACTTGCTCCCTCTCATAAATCAGACTTGAAGACTTTATATTACTCTTCAAACATGAGATGTCCAACAGCTGGCAATACTGATACCTAAAACTCTTCTGTTCTGGAAGCTTACTGCTCTCCAGGAAACAGGAATGTTTCTAATTTGTGCTTTTTTTTTTCACTGATAATTAGCACCAGTGGTGGTCAACAGCCATTTCAAAACAGTATTATTGGCTTCTTGGTCGATGAGGTCTTTATTCCTAACTTAGTAATTCTTGGGATATTTTTTCTCCCTTCTACTCCAAGGAGTGAAGCCCCATCAGTGCCAAATTTGTGGGAAGACATTCTCCCAGAGTGGTAGCAGAAATGTGCATATGAGGAAACACCACTCCCGAATTGGAACAGCTGGCAGCAGAGAGCGAGAACAGCCAGGTAAGGAAGGGAAGGCACTCTCTGTGGGGGAGAAGGCAGGAAAGAATTAGTGGATGGTTGAAGAGAAGGGAAGATGTTTGTCCTGAAAATTCGAGACCACAAGCCAGTGAGGAATAAAAGACTGTTCCTCTTGGAGATGAGGATGGATTGCTCACCTTCCCCTTCCCTAGGATAGAAGACAGAGGCATATTTCTGTATTGTGGTCAAGGGGCAGATAGGTTTATTGTTTTAAAAATTGATATGAACCTGGTATCTTTTTTTCACATGGAATTTGTGCCCTTCATTATGTATTCTTGTTGTAAGGAGCCTGGTTTTCTATGCAATGTGAATTACTTAAAGAGAAAGCCAAGCCTGCATGAGATCCTGCCGTACTAAGGCTCAAAACAGTAAATGCAAAAGTTGCCATCCATTGGAGCGCTGGATGCCCAAAGAGTAGGAATGGACAAAGTAGATGTCTAGGGAAGAAGTCGATGTGACTTGGAGGCAGGCACAGATTGTATCGTATACTGCAGTATCACTACATCATGAGATTTTTGGTTTACCCTTTTTTTTCCCACAATAGAGTCACTGATGGGCAGCAGTTTGCTGGAAGAATCTACAGTGCATAGTAAGAATCTCATCTCCATGAACTCTCAGCCCAGCCTTGGTGTTGAGTCTCTGCACCTGCCAGACACAGAGTCTATTATTGGAGTAGAGGAGGGTGAGACCAGCTGCTCTTTTTTCCGCCCTCTTATATGTGGTGACTGAAGCGGGATCGATCACTCCTCCTAGAGGCTCTCCATGTTGCGGTGGGATGAGTGAACATTGCTTTAACTGTGAACTGAGCGGGTGGGTAGATGGAGAATGAACCATAAAACTGGAGCTGGAGAAGACCTACCGGACCAAGTTTCTCTCTTGCAGAGCTTAAAAGGTGAAGTCTGCTGCTTAGGTGTCATTTAGCCCATGTCATGGAACGCCATTTCAAAACTGTTTATGCAGTCCATTCTCCTAAAGCCTAACGCGTTTGTTTTGCTGGAGCATCTAGAAGCCCCAGTTAAGGACCAGGACCTCATTGTGCTAGGCACTGTACAAACATTCAGTCTCTTGAGCAACAGGCCTTCCTTCCATCCTTTACCTTCAGAGACTATATTCTAATACATCTCACTGTCAGAAGCTGACTTACTATCTGAAATAAATGTACTACTTGATATCATTTAACTACATTTGCTGTGTTCTTTTCCTGCTTTCCCCAGCCACATTTTCCTCCAAAATTTGTTTGGTATGTCAAGCTCTTTCAATGAGTCTACCATGCAGATGTTTTGAATTTTTTTTAAGGGGTTTCTTCAGAGTTGGGATTATTAAGAATGCAGAGTTTTGCTAAGATACTATGTGTCTGCAACAGGTCTGATGGGAAGAGAATGCTTTTAATTTATATTGCTTCCTAGCTGAATGTAAAGGTAGTGCTGCTGTCATTAAAGGTATTGTAATTTGGAGGCTCTTGCAGAAGCTCCACCAGGTACCTGTGAATCAGGATCTGAGGTGGTTTGGCTACCATCTCATAAATTGATGGGAGATGCTCTAGTGAGATGTCCTCTTTACTACAGTATTTTTATAGGTCAGCTGAACAGGCTGTAATTCTTTTAACTAAAAGTAACAAAATCTTCCCATAAAATGCAAAAATCCAGAGCAAAAGTGGAAATTCTTTATTTCCATAGCATTTTTGAGATAGATTAAGATATTACAAATCTCTTTTAGGATTACAGAAATGTAATCCTACTTTCAGAACAGCACCTTACTTAGCAAGAAAGGTGCTCGTGAGTTTCAGTTACTTAGTTTGATGCTTTTACTTTCATCACCATTTCAGCAATTTCTGCTTAGGGACCAATATTGAGACTTGGATTTATCTGCTACTGTATTCATGCATGCCACCTTAGTATTTGTTAAAGGAATATGGCATAATATCATATATTAATTTAAAGTCAAGCCTTTGTTCCTCCTTTCTCAAGGTTTTTCTTTACACTTCACATACTTAGAAATTTCTTTTTCCAGCATCATCAAGTATTATTATGGAAAATAGCAGTTTTAGTAAATACCCGTTAAAATGTATGTATGAAAATTTCCCTCCTGCTGCTCCAGATATATCCATACAAGCTCAGTGGGAATTAGGCCACAGACTCAGACCATGGAAGAAATCTTCTTTCCTGTCTCTTTCAGTGTGACAAGGCATGGTGACAGTCTGATTACATCACTGCTCTTTTCCAGGGGATACAGGAGAAAGAACAGCCTTTGTGTGTCCTACGCAATTAAACCTCTGTAGAAAATGGTACACTGATAACGGCCTTCCTTGAACCCTCCCAGGTGCTTAAGCCTCTTCTCAGCGTGGAAAGCCTTTACCACGAAGGAAGTATTTCCAACCCATTGGGAATTTCACTAGCGAAGGGCTGCAATTCAGTCTGTGACACAGCACTCAGCAGACGCATTGTGTAGAAAGCTCTTCAACTGGAAAAGGAAGAAAAAAAGGAAAAATACCAGCCTAAATGTAGATTTGTTGGAGATTCTTTGGGTCAGTGAGCAGGACTGCTGCAACCCAATGCATTCAGCTATGTATCAGCATGAACTGATCTCTGTGGAAGGGTAACATAGCAGCCTGAAACCCCGGGGCCATAAATTCTCAGATCTAGTACTTTGTTGTGGTCAAAAATGTCATGACCTCAGTTTTATGTGGTAGCTCTTACAGGTACTGTATTTCTGATTAGATGATGAGCTGCTGTTGTTACAGTGTAAGGAGAAATGGATTGAGGTAACGAAGATGAAGAGACACAGCTTCCATTTAAAAAGTGAGGAAAAGATGATTGATAAAGAAATCAGACAATGCAGAAACACTGATAGCCACTTAAAAATCTTTTAATCTCAAAGTGCTTTGACACCATCATTCTCAGAAAACATTCCAGGTGGTAGGGGTTTGTGCTTTTGAGGTTGTTACTACTGTCAGGTAAAGGAAGATCACTAATATGTGAACTATACCATTTAAGATGCCCCAGGCATTTCAGTGCAACATGCTGACAGGTAATCCCTAATCTTTCTTCCACCAAAGTCCATCTTTGCTATCACAGTAATTGTGGAATTAGGACAACAGCAATTCAAGTGATGCATTGGTTAATTACAATCTTCTTCATAATTTTGGTTGTTTTTCAGGCCAAATCAATGACCTTTAGATGTTAAAAACATTTCAAGTAATGAAGTATGGGAGATATTTTAATATAGAAAGACTATTGCTTCTTCCTAATGGGAGGAAGGAGCAGAGCTGGTAATGAGTGAATGAAGAGTTAACACCAGAGGAGAACTTCCCTCTGAGTCTTCTCCCAAGGTAGGTCAAATCTTGCAATTTTTTTTTTTTTTTAGAAGTACCTTGTTTAAAAGCATTCTACCACATATATGTGTAAACCAAGGTTTAGCACACTGAAAGGCACTCTCCCCTTTCTGTGTACTTCTGTGGCACGAACACAAGGAGCTGACACTAGAGGATGTACCTCCTCAATCTCTTGTATCTACTGTTATCCAAAGATAGTGCTTCAACCTTTTTAACTTGTTTTGTTGCCCATTAAAGAAAGAGAAATGGCTCACACATGGAACACTTGTGAAGGCTGCAGGGTTTGCTGGGTTGTACAAGACATGCTCTAAACAACAGTTGGTCTTTTTTTCCTTTACTAAGTTCTCACATCTCACTCACTCAGAGCAATTCTTAAGTGTCAGCCTAAACCAGAAAGTTCCCAAGGTTTAACGTGGAAAATCTTGAATTAAAAAAGATCAAGGGATGATCAATGGATTCTTCTGCTAGATCTCATGTTGCCATTTCCTTTCTTCTCTGTTCCTCTTGAGGTTCTCCTTCCTGTACAGTACAGTCGTCCTTTTCACCCCGAGGCTTGGGTGCTCTGCAGAAATAGTGATTGTCTAATACCAGAAGTGGTTTGCAGTGCTTACTTGCTGCTTTGCCCCATGCATAAGAAATAGAGTGCAGTCACAGGAGTTAAGACAGAGAAGCCATGATGCTTAATAAGAGTGAAGCTGATTTAATTTTGCGTGCACAAAACTGGAATGTTTTCATGAATAAGGGAAATATTTCTACTGAAAGGCAAAAGAGCTGTACTGTACTGTTTTTATTACCTGTGAACGTCAGATTCTTCTTCCAGCAAGCCAGTGGCATCTTTCCCTTTTTCCCTTACAAATTCTTCACTTAGCCCAACCTGCTGGAGGGTGTGTCTGTAGCGACGCTCTGCTCCTTGACGAGCATCATGCTATGAAATCGAAACTTAAACAGTAAGCACGTAGAACTGGGGCTTCCCCATAATGGTCTTAAAGTTCATGGCTGGCACTCCTAATGAGAACAAGAGGACAGCAAAGACCCCATGCAGAATTTTTGTCATCCATACAGTATAGTACCAAGCCCGAATACTAGGAGAATGTCTCACATCTCTCAAAGCCAGAGCTCACCTTTCCCTGCTTCTGTTCTTTTTTTTTCTTCCTTCTGTTCTCCTGCTTTTACAGCATTCCAGTCTTACCAGACTAGCATACTTGTGTCCAAGTCCTGACTCTGACACTCAAATTGAGAATATGTGCCAAAAAAGGACTGTGAGAAATTCTGGAAGTACGTTTGCTTGTAATTTTTAAGCACTAACCACAGCAGAGTTCAATAAACAGACAGCACCTGTGAAATAGCTTCATATCAGCTCATCTTCAAGAAACGGAAATCCAAGCATCCTGGATCCTATATCCTCACTGCCTCCAAACAAACCTTGCAAATTAATGTAGTCTGAGGTAACAGTTTTCCAGCAGGACTGGCCAGTTCCTAGAGATTAAAGTATTCTGTGTGGAAGGATAGAAATCTTGTCTCACCGTGAGTGAATGCTATCAATGCTGGTGAATTCTTATGCACCTGGCAACTGGTTACCAATATTCATCATACAAATGTGTTCTCTCCTTCAATTAAGCTGAACAGAAAGTCTGACCCAGGAGAGTACTTTCTACTGAGAAATCTTAAATCAGCATGTTGTCAATCTATTGTCACTATGTCTCTAATCAGGTATCATCCCTGCAAGGAGACAGAACTGAAAGAGAAAACCCAAGGAAAAAGATACCTTGTAGGGAGTAAAGATTGTATCTACACCTCAAGTGCAATATGGATTTGCAGATGGTGCTGAGTGATAGATGAGATGTGCTGAACACAACCCCAGGTAGCAGAGCTTGCAGATGATATAAGCGACAAAACTGTCATTAATGTTTTTCTAGTAGCACTAGAGATACAAAGAAGAAGTGCTCAACTGGAGAGGGTTTTAAGAAAAAAAAGGTTAAATTTTCTAGACTGTAGGCAATGGTATTCAGGTACAGAATAGGTATTCATATAATTTCCGATGTGGTAAGGCCTTAATTTTGATCAGACCATGTATTTTGATTGCAATACATACTAGGGACTGGGAAGCTCTACAACCAAGAAATAAGTCTGAATGTTTTTTCAAGTGGTGGGAAGGAATTTAAATTATTCTTTGGTGTCCTTCCAGGTGTTATTTTTAGTGTAGTCAAGAGACTATGCAACCATTTGCACCTTCTTATCCATGAATTAATGCCTGTCTTAAATGAAAGACAATGTGTCCTGTCACCCAGAAATATTCTGGAACTTCGACCAGTTACCTTGGTGACCTGTTCAAAGAGGTATGGTCTGTTCTTGACTCGCAGCTGCATTTCTTCCAGCTCCTTTCTGTATTCCTTTGTTCTCTCTCTCATATTTTGCCTGAAATGGAAAAGTTCCCTGTCTAATACAGGTTCCTTCTGACTGTAGCTGGTCAGGAGCAAGGAATTCTCAATAATTGTTTTGTCCTTTAAATAGTTCTGGGAATTGTCTTGATTCCGAATGTTGGGCAAAACATGGCTATCGCTGGCAAGTTACAGACCCATTAGCAAAGCTTTACTGCTAGAGCGTAGGCAGAGGGCCAGTGTTCACATTTTTAGAAAATCATGTCCTGTGTGTGCTTTACCAAATAACACATTTCAGTTGGCTTATTTGTACAAATCAGTTTCTGCAAATGTTAATCTAAAGGAAACCGTTCTGTATGGAAAGAGTAGTGCAGCATTGTCAAGAAATCCAAATGAATGTGGAATGGGTACGACAGTCAAAATAGTTTGGTTAGGAACATTCTTAGACCAAATTCCTCCTAAAGATTTATCTGATGATCCCCAGGTAGTAGAGCAAATGGTTATTTCTGTGCAGAGAATAGGATACTGACCAGTTCTGTTTCAACTTCTCCTTGTATGTTTCCTCCAGACTTTTATGCGGATCCAGGGCTTTTGCTCGGCTGTTCACTGACTTTTGGATAGCTTGACATTTCTTTTTGTGTTTGTCCAGCCAATAAATTCCTTCTTTGGCCCCTTCCTTTTTATTTTCTTGGGAGTATCTATATAGAAAAAAGTTATTAATGATCTCACTTAAGACTGCCAGACTACATGCTAGCAGGGAATTTCACTTTTGTAATCCCCTAAGGAGAAAAGCAAAATTTCAGACATACGAATGTGCAGCTCCCAAATCAACCGGGAGGCAGGACAAGAATTAGCAAAAGGGAAGACAGAGAAACATTTAGGAAAAATATTGTTGATGTAGTTGATATGATGAGGGAAAACATTGACATTTTTTCCTCCATTTTGGTCGTTAGTTGATGTATGGTCTTGTAGACAAACTTTTCTACTTACCTAATAGCAGATTCCCTTTTTCTAGTTGCATCTGTAATATGCACTGGAAGGGTGTTGGAAGAGAGGGCGGAAAGTCCGGTCAGAGAATGACTTTTTTGCAGTGAAACCTTGGAAAGTTGCTGAGAATCCTGAAAAAAATGGAACTTCATTCAGCGTATTTGTTCACAGTACAGAATCTCCTCTGTTCTTTGTCTATCAAAGGGAACAGTTGGGGTATGTGGGCAATGCTGTCATTCTTCTCTCTTCCATCAGTAGGGATTGACATGGGAAGGGGCTGAGGGATGAGGGGAAGAAGACGTGATTAGGAATATGAAAGGGTGGCTGAGCCTTAGCTGTCATAGTTCATCTCTTTGCGTAGGATTTTGTTTTCTGGCTTGTCCTAGAACTCCACAGTACTCCCAAGACAAGGGCAGAGGTCACAGGACATTAACCATCCATATAAATGCTATAAACCATAAAAATGCTATAAATTTAAGAGGTTGGTATCTTGATCAGAGAAAGCAGTACCAGAAATATCCAGTCATCTCACCTTTATCTTTTCATTAGCCTGCCTCTGCCTGCCACGGAGATTGGAGGTTCTTAGCTTGAATGGCTTATTACGAGTTGCCTCTTTGATTTCTTGTCTCCTTACTGCTTCCCTCTGAAATGCCCAGTAAAGTCCTTCAAAATCTGGAATTGTCGGATTAATCCTTGGCTTGAAGCTGAAACTTTTGTCCTGCAAGAAGCCAAGTCTCTCCTGCTTAGTTTTAGTGGCAGTTCGGGTCTGAGGCTCCCTCCGACAGTTGCTAGTATCTATAAGAGCCACAGAGCTCTCAAGCAAATCCTTGGCTCTCATTTGAATGCGGACTTCTCTGTAGAGTTCAGCTTCTAATGAATCAAAAGCAGAGCAATGAGAATAATGAGTGACATAAAAGGCTGTGAAATTGCCACTGCACAACTCTATAAACTTTTCTTTATGATGGCAGCTACACGTATAGGAGAGACCAGACATCCTGTGTTCTCTTTCCCCACTTTCCAGCCTCTCTCTCCTCTGCCTCCCAGGACAAAAAATTCACAGATACCGGAAAACACATGGTAGAGTCTCTTTTTTAGGCATTAATCTCTAGATACCTCTTTCACTTATCGGAGTAAGTTACTCAACAAGCCTTCTCCTCCTATTCCTGTTCTTAGGCATACCAGATAACTCTTGCCCTTTGTCTTGCACACATGTTGTGTTAATCAAGGTTCACACTTTTCTTATGGAACTTTATGTCATTATGTTGGCTGTGTGATCCAAAGGGGCTTGAAATGGATGATGGCTTTTCTGCGTAATATCCAGCAGTGTTTGTCTATATTGAAAAAGATGTTTTTAAGTAAGAAGCATTTGGTGGATGGATCGCATCTTGTGACTTCTGTGACAAACTTTCCATAATAAGAATGTGTTTCAGGGGAACACAAATAACATTAAACTGAGTCCTTTCCTTTGCAGCACTAAATACTTAAGAAAATGCAGGCAAACAGTTGGCTGTGCGTTTTGGGGTTTTTTTTCGCTTTTGGGAAAAAAAAATCAATACTGCTCTTTGCAAAATAAGACTTTTTAGAGTCTATTTATAAGTTTGCATTGACTGGGGTATGAAATGTTCATTCTTCCTCCCTTCTAATATACCACACAGAAATAGAACAGTGGGTTGTCCTTTGCTTTCTTTTACCTTTCTAATATAATCTAATCAGTTTTCATCAGAAAACTGAACTGGTGTACACTCCAGAAGAAATCAGTGGGAAACAGTAAAGAAAAAAAAAAATAGAAAAGGGTGAGAAAAGCAATAAGGATTATCAAGGACTGGTTTAGTTCCTGTATTCAAGTGTGAAGTTTGTACTGCTTTCTTCAAATTTGCAACTGGAGGGCCTAAGCCATCTGAAGGAAAGCGAGCATCAGAAAATACTGTCTTGGCTGTCCCTCTGACTAGAATGGTCCTGGCACCTACCTCCCCTGTTTCAGCACTTAATGAGAAGGTGGAGAGTGAGTGGGAAGGTAACTGAAAACATCAGAATGGCAGGAGAGACTGGACTACTGCTCTATCACTTAGAACCAAACTAATTGCCTGCTTGGGGCTCAGGAAATATTTTTCTCCTAGGTGTCCTGTGCAGCACAGATGACTTGGGTGGGAGTAAAACTGTTGGTTCCAAGATACTGCATGGACCTTGGATGCTTCTGCCGCTACATCCATCTTCATGTTTGTGCCACAAATCATTTAAATCCCTTTAGCATAACCAAAGGTATGGAATTCAGTGCAGGGAAGGATTCCAAAACTGTCATGATTTGGGGCAAAAAGGGTTTGGAAATCTGTCTGAAGAGCTCAGTGTACCCACGTGTGCTGGGGAGCAGTACAGAACTGCTGCTGCTGACACAGATATGAGACTGCTAAATTTAAGACACTCTACTGAAAGGGTATCTAGATGAAATGTAATGACTAGCAATACACAGGAAATGAGACAACACAGGGGATGTAATGATACTGGCTTTATGCTCCAGGTAATGCCCTACAGGCCATGATCCTACTTCCCAGCATGGAGACAGCAAGGGACAGGCAGGAAATTGTTTTTATAGGAAGAGCCTTGGCATTTTACCTTTGAGTTTATCTCCAAGAAGTGGACCATAAGTAGATTTAGGAACTTTTTTACTGGCTTGCTTCTGTTTGGAGCTCTCCTTTAGGGTTGCTGCCGCCAGGAACTTTTGTCTGATAGCTTCTTTCTTTTTCTCCTCCTTCTCCAGGAAACTGAAGGGCCGCTGGGTTGAAAGTAGCAGCTCCTTTCTTTTCTGTGTTGCTATTTGCCTGCGAATCTCATTCTGCTCCATTATTTCCTGATAAAGGGGCAGAAACACATGGGCAGGTACAGGCTGTGCCCGGAATTGTTTCTGACATTCAGCTTCATCCTGGCTTTGCCTTTTGTCTCTCTGTTTGTCTAGTTCAAGAAACATGTATGACTTCATCAACTGGGACTTTTTGCGAGCTTCCCGCAGTGTCATTTCGAAGGGCTGAGGGATGGTGATGGAAGGAATCCAGGGAGATGAAGCACTTTTTGGCCTCAGGCGGGATTTAGGGAACAACTGAGGCTTTTGCTGATCCCAGGTACTGTCCGAGGTGAGGTCAATCAAAGAACTGGACTGCCTTTTGTTACCAGATGTACGACTAAGACAGACATTATGAAGGGGAAATAAGGGAAATTATTAAAAAAACAGAATTAAAAGAAGGGAAGGTGCTGTTGATTGAGAGAAAGACACCGCAGGCTGAGCTGTTCATAAAAGACAGGCCTAGGGCTTATCGTTCTCAGGCTCTACATTTTGATTTGTGGCCTACATTCACGAGCAGAGCTTTGCTTGTTTTCTGTTTTCCATGTATAAAATGGCAATTATGCCTACTTAGCTTTGTAATGCAATTTATTACGCTGCTAGTACCCTATTGCCAGAAAGGCCACTGGTAAACCAGAAAGTTCCAACTTTAGGGATATCTTGCTGATAGCTACTCAACATAAAAGACTGACTCAGGAGAGGCAATAAATTAAGCACACAGATGCACAAATCCTAACGAACATTACCAAATACCAGAGTTCACAAGATGCTGATGCATCATTGCAAGGAACTGCTTTAGTGCAACACCAAAGAGGTTCAGTTAGCGCCTTTGTAGCTGATAAGAAGACCATATAATTGATAATAAGAAAAAAACCCAAGACTATCACGGGTCTTACTGAAATACCAAACTTCTCATAGGATGTTTGAGGGTGATTGTGAAACTGAGTAAGACTTGTGAGATATTTTAGGGAAGGAATAAATGTGGGTAAAAGGAAGGATCGAGGTGGATCAGGGTGGACCAAGAACAGGAAAATGGGAAAAAGGGGGGAAACAGAAGGTGCAAGTCATATGTAAACAAACAGGCTCCTGGGCAATACACTCGGCTAGCGATTGCTGCAGTCTGTTCTTCTATTCTTATTATTTCCTTTGTAAGAGCGTGTGTGTGCGTGTGATCTGCTAGTGAATGTCAAGCTGGACTAACGACAGAGAAGGACAAGAGGTCTGAGAGCTAGACGTTGGAGACACAACAGCTCTTAAGACTGGATGCTGGATAGAAACGTGTGATCTGTTAGGAAATTTAAGCGTGATTAGGTGACGAGCAGGAAGGGGATTTGTGCTGTTTGTGTTTTATGTGAATGCTGCTTACATGGGCACCTGTTGGCCTCATCCTCCCATCTGTGAACACGTTTGTGGCCAGCGTGTGGCTATTAATACACATGCGCCTTGGGACTTCACGCTCTGCATCATCGCCGGTCAGAAGCGGCGGGAATCCCGCATGCTATTTTGCCATCCTTACCAGGTACCATCCTACCTGAGAGCCTCCCACAGCTTCTCACGCAGGACTGCCGCCTCCCGCCTGAAACCCTCGAGCTCCTCATCCTCTTCGGATACCCCGAGGTCACCCCTTAACTTTGCCTGCTGCGGTAAGCCCAGTTCTAATGGAGACCGCCGGCCTCCCATCCTGAGAGGTCGCTCCCAGCTCCTCGCCCAGTCGCTCCACAAGGAGCTGGTCCGTTACACAGCCTGAAGGGATGCCGTGTCACCTGGAAGAAAAAAAAATTAAAAATTGAGAAGTGCTCGTTTCGGGGGTGCGACCCCAACCTCCGTGCCCGGCCTC